ATTTTGTGAGCCAGTAACCGATTACAAAGTCTGTTCGAAAATAGGAAACAGATTGTAAAATTCTTGCCAGGAGATAATTAGGGCCTATGAAAAAACTAGATAACTTTTGTAGCTATGTGAACCTTTTGTACCTGATATCCGACTTTTCAAAAATTCATTTTTTTTATGGAAAATAATAGCATTTCGTTTGTACTTGATTATACCATCAATAGTTTCGTTTGTACCTTCATCAATGAGTAGTATGAACAAGTGTTAATATTATAAAAAAAATCTTACTTATCATAAGCAAAATTCAAAATTGTCTAAATTGCGTCGTATTTGACATCATTTTTATCAGAAAAATCGCGCCAATATATTGCATATATTTTCATCAAGATACAACAAAAAAAGCATAAAAACATGGATGAATATTAAGGAACTAATATTGACTACGATCACACATATTGTCCCTTTGGAGTATCTGTCGGCGGGTGGTCGTAAACGGTCGTTTGCTTTTGAGCATTTTCAATCGGATTCGGATCGCCCGAATCCACAAAATAACATCAGTTTCACAGGAGTACGAACATCGTAGATGTTCACCGGCATATTAGCGACAGTAAGAACACCCTTGCGAACGTTTTTAGCCTATGTTCTTGTTCGTGTTCGCCGCAGTGTGGACCCGGGGTTAGGTTCTGAGTGAGGCACCATCTCTCTATCCGGTCTAACGCATAGATTCTGTTTTCCGCCTGCGATTCTACCCGGGTGGTCACCGATGACTGCGATGCAGATGTCGTCCGCAAAACCTACCACTTTCACGCCTAGCTCCCCAAGTTGCAAGAAGAGCCTGTCGTCGACCAGCAGTCACAACAGAGGGGAATTTACGCCCTCTGAGGGCAGCACCTGCCGACTTGAGATAGAGCCAGTCAACGATAGACTCATTGAATGGAACCTTCTCGCAGCTGAGCATATTACATCGAAGGAGGTGTTGTCACACGCGCCCTCGATGTCAAGAAAAGCTTGACATCATAATTCTTGTCACAGCGGCGCGGACGCACGATGTGCGCTTCATCCTTTCTTCCATTTAGAACGCTCCCCACCCTTGAATTTTCGATGTTTCGACTTGAAACTTGCTATATGGGCTCATCATTAGTTGTCATCATTGTCTATTTACCTTCTCGGCCGTTTCAGTTTTGGAAAAGAAAAAATGTGTTTTCCGCCGTCTCAACCTCTATTGTTGCTACCCGCCGCCGTTCCTTCCGTTCCTTCCGCCGCGTGGTAGCAACCACGAATTCGAGTGTCGCAGTCAACGTGTTAAATACAGTTTTTTTCGATGTTAGAAATATGTATGCTCGCTAGTGTTTAGTTTCCTACAAAAAATAAAAATCGTAACTGTCATAAAAAAATATGCAATAAATGATGTTATAAACGTAAACAGAAACTCAAAAGGAAACAGAATTTTATTTGTCTTGCCTATGTCTACAAACAAAAGAATTTATTGCGTCGCGCGCTCAACCGATCACTTTGTCTGCTCAATGCAAAGTGCCTTCGGGACTCGGGACCACTCGCACTCGTAGGTAGGCGGCCCCGGCTATTCCCCCTCCACGTTTCTCAATCAATCGGCATCCCACATCGGAGCGTCCCATCCGTGACCTTTGTTGCGTTTATGCTAATAATAATAATGATGAAAACGTCGTTCACAATATTTTCGCTCTAATATTGCATTCTGGCTCACTTTGCAGCTCTGACCGTTGTGTACCGGGCTGTTCCTCTATCCGCCATCTGGGGACGCGCCCGATAAGCACTCAACCTTGCCTTCTACCCTTTTTGGGGGTCGGGCCGAGTATTAGTTATTCAATTTTTTTGTAAAAAACAAAATTGAATCAAGTTAATTGTTTAACTTTTAGTTAATGATTCGTTTATTTATAAATAATTCAAGGAACACACACCCCATTGGTAAACTTTAAAATGTTATACAGAGTGTTTTATAAATTGTGATACAGCCGAAATTTAACAAAAAACACTGACCTATCACAGGGCCCGATTAGCGCGCGATAATCGGATGCTGTGATTGGTCGGTGTTTTTTGTTAGCCCTCACCGACACTTGCAAAGGAAATTATTATTCGATTGGTGCCCCCTGAGGAAGACTACTCACATATAAACATATAGCAGACGACGCGACACTAGCAACGTTTGCTGTTATGTCCGCTAAAGTTATTTGAATATTCAAATTAATGACTCTTTTTTTAGATACATTATACATTATTTAACTTTTATAAATACTGGAGACCGGTAATACAGTAGTTTTATTTGATTAGAAATACATAATGGAGCAAAACAAAAATATACCGTACTCGCGTTCCGGTGACAAGGGCGAAGATGAGGTTAGTTTGAGCTAAACAATAATCACGCAGAGCTAGTTTAAGATATCTGTCAAAATGACAAAAATCTCTTAATTGCATTTGTATAGATACTACTGGAACCATTTAGTTATATACTACAAGTTCCTGGAAAACAGATCAGAACGAAGTTGGCATGTGCTTTCAATTACTGGTTGAAAATACCAACAGATAAACTTCTTGCTATTGGAGATATAGTACAGATACTTCATACTTCAAGTCTCTTGTGAGTATATGAAGTATCATCCATTTCAAAGAAATGTTGACATTATACTGTAGTTTTATTAATTGACATCATTTTTATAGAATTGATGATATCCAAGATAATTCGGTTTTAAGAAGAGGTATTCCTGTAGCTCATAATATTTATGGGATAGCAAGTACTATAAATGCTGCAAATTATGGTATATTTATTGCTTTAGAAAGAGTTCTTGCTTTGCATCATTTAGAGGTAAGCATTATCATAGAAATTTTTGTTTTTCTTAAGCATTGATTTAACGCATTGAATATGTCAAATATATGTAACAATGATTACATAATTTATGTTTGTATAAACAAATAAAATATATACTGTAGATCATTGCTATCTTACATAGAACAGATTGTTTGAAGTATTCAGTTGATTTACACATAGAAACATGAATTCTGTTAAATAAAATGATTAAAAATGTTTGTGGATCTTGAGTATTCAACTAAACAGTGTAAATAAATGTGTTAGTTTTATTACTATTGTTACAATTAGGGTACGCAAGTATATGTGGAACAGTTACTGGAACTTCACAGAGGACAAGGTATGGAAATTTATTGGAGAGATAATTATATTTGTCCATCTGAAACTGCATATAAGCAGATGACAATTCGAAGTAAGTCACCATTAATTGGAACATATATGTTTTTATATACATATTTTAATTTGTTGATAAATTTTTAATATTATTAGAAACATAACAGTTATAAATATTGTACATCTTACAGAAACAGGTGGACTTTTTAATTTAGCTGTTCGTTTAATGCAGCTATTTTCAGATTGTAAAGAAGACTTTACTCCCTTAGCAGGAATCTTAGGGCTTTACTTCCAAATTCGTGATGATTATTGTAATCTACATTTTCAAGAGGTAAGTATTACTTAATATATTGACTGCAATGTTGCCCAGATGTAGGTGATGTATAATATTTACAAGGAGCCTCATTACTCCTTTAGGGGTAATGCTCATATTTTACTATGTCATTACTTAGCTTACAATTAGTCTGAGTATAAGAAAGATAAAAATTACTAATAGTTTTGAAAATGATAAATATCATTTGTTCAAACGATTTTAACACATTGACTGCCATATCGTTTATTTATGTTTGATGAAACTAGTGTCAAGTCATTTTATCCCATAATGCATAGATTCTGAAATAAGGTAATGTTGTCTTAACGCGACATTGGCCTCATAATTTACATCAGGAGAGATAAAAATTAGTTCACAAGGCATTCAGGACATATATCATAATATAATCTAATCTAATAAATCATGTCATTAAATCGACAATCATGTATGAGTGTCTTGGTGGAATTAACACACGAATTTTGATTGGCAGTCAAGGTTTTAATAGATATACTAGTGATGTAGTATATAATAATCTTTTATAGTATGCCGAGAATAAAAGTTACTGCGAAGATTTATCAGAGGGAAAATTTAGCTTTCCTATTATACATGCTATACAAAGTCATCCAGAAGATAGACAATTAATGAGTATCCTTTACTTAAATATAGATAATTTTATTTCTGAACAAATACCATATTGCACCTTAATATTTGTGAATAGACATCTTGAGACAGCGGACAAAGGATATCGAGGTAAAACGGTATTGCGTTAACCTATTAGAAAAGTTTGGATCGTTTGCTTACACAAGAGCTGTGCTTGAAGAATTGGATAAAAAAGCAAGAGACGAGGTTCAGCGTTTAGGAGGAAATCCTTTATTAGTTCAAGTTTTAGATGAATTAGTAAATTGGAAACATCAAGGTGCTATTCAGCAACAAACAAAAAAAGCTGCATGTTAAGTTATGTTATCGATGCTTTCCATATGCTGTACATATCCACTCTATGTATAATTGATACTTTTGTCACGTACATATCGTGAATATTAAGTTTTTAATTTCCATAGCATAACATCTATAGGAGAACAAAATCATAAAAGCAAGGTTTATTTAGTTTATTTGATAGATAACATAAATTTCAGACAATAAAAATACTATAGACATTGCATAAAAGAGATTAAAGCCTCTTTTTTAACGTGTATAGATAATTACTGTTATGAGACGAATTGTAACTATACATTTTTAGATAATAGATATGCGAAATATACTATATTAATACATTAACCAACGGTATATGTAGTCTCGTAAATGCAAACACGTAAGTGAATATATATATTAGTATAAATTTCCTTACATTCTTTTTTTATACACAAATATACTTGACATAAAAATGTTCCTTGGAATGTTCTAAAATAAATTTGTGTTTTCTTCAAAGGAACGGTGGTATGGCAATTTTACTAATTTTCTAGAAATAGTACAAATGTAGGTTATGTTCTGCATTAACTATGAAACCAAGGTTTAAAGAACATTCCGTACAAATTTTTAATCTGTTTTGTATTTGAGCATTTCATTGAAGTCTGTGAAGTGGTTTTATAATAGTGTGATATTTAAAGTAAAGTTAGAAAAACGAATATGTAACTTTTTTTAACAAAAATTCTATTAGAATAAATGGTACAGTTGCTTTTTTTGTATCAATTGTTACGTACGTACAAGAATTTAATATATAATATGTTGTACATTATATTGTTCATATCAAAATTTTACTACTAATTTGCATAATATATGATCATATACTGTAGAACTCGCAATGTGATACAACATATACTGTTATATACTAAACCATTTGTAATAAATAAATATATTATCAGTACATCTAAAAAATATTACCAGAAACACTAGAGTTAGAATTTTCTAAATTAATTTATGTACAGTTTAATCACGCTTTGAATATGTGAGAACAGACTTGTATGCACATATTCTTATCCTATAATTTGCAATGGAATTCTAATTACATATCTTGTTCTAGTTATAGCTAATTCTCTTTCTATTTTTAAATTTTGTTACATCTTTTAAGTTTATAAAGTTATTACACATTTTTGATGAATCTTAATTTACGGTTATATTAAAATATGGTATATCAGTATATTATGGTTATATTATGGTATATTAGTATATTAAGTAAAAATATTTAACAAATGAATTTATAAAAATGTTTATAAAAAATATATAGAATTATTTATAGATTGTACAGAGTGTAATGTAAAGAACACACCACTCTTAAATTCATTTCTTGAGTATGTTGTAAAAGTGTGTAGAATAAATTGGTTCTTCTGGGCGTTCTCTAAATGAAGTACACGTATAATCCTTATTAGTCATAGGAGTACTTGCTGAGAATAATGTTAAATTATTATCTACAGGTGTTGCCAGTGATTGTGATATATAACTGCCATTTGATGACAGTGTTGTTAAATACTCTCGTTTTGCTTTGTAATGCGAATCAATATTGGGAGTAACTTCAACTTGTAAATGTTTCATGTCATTTGATATGTACTCATTAGACATGCTGCTATTATTCATACTTATTCTGTAGAATATAAATAATACATCGTCAGAATATTGAATAACCATATATACAACTTACTTGATATATATATATATATATAAGTATAAAACGAATAAAAACTTACTTTTTTGAAGAGTCATTTTCATAATGATAACCATATTCTGCTAAGACAGTCTCCAAGCTATCACTCTGTTCTTTTAATAATTCATATGTCTGTTTTGTTTCTTTGAGAAACTGTTCCATAGATACTGAATTCAGTGATTCGAATTCTTTCCTTTCTGATAAAATTTTCTGTATTCCCCCCTAATATGATAACACATTAAGGAATATTACACATTATCTATCAAGTTATTATACTTTAATAAATTAATTCATCCCAAAAACCTGTGTATTTTTTATAATATTCCATACTGCTTCAATGTGAGAATTTGTTTCTTCGGTACATTCTGCAAAGCGTCCGATTATAACTTGTGGCCGTCTCCATGTCTCAGTTAATTTTTCAATACCATCGTCAAGTTGCCGAGCTTGAAATGTAATCTTCTCAAAATAATTAGAACACATCATATAATACTGATATTAGTTCCTCTGTATTTTTTGCAGAACTTTGTAGAACTTATTAGATATTTTGAACGTCCATGTAACCGCTTTTAATATATCCCCAAACAATTCAACCAGCATGACAAAATTCCTAGAATAAGTAACTTCATAACTTCATAGCAGTAAAATGCATTTTTTCATTCATATCTAAAAGAAACAAAGAAACCGAAGAGAGTGGACTAGAATACATTATAATGTTCATATTCTATTTCATAACTATGTTTAAATACATTTTTATTAATATATATATATATATATATATTATATAGTATAAATATAAACATTTACATCTACTTTGTTCAATAAAAATGGAAACTGAAAAACAAAACCACCTGATTTACTTATTTATGTATAATAATACATATCTAATAAATGAATACAAATAAAAATATATTTATTGGTCTACTATACTTCTAATACACTCTGGGATAGAAATTCAGTGAACCAATGAAATTCTGTTTTAAATCATGTGGTTTTGTTACTAGATCGTATTGTCTCAATAATAAATAATAAATACTTACAAATAAAATTAGATTTTATTCAATTCAACTTGTATGACATACAATGTATGAGCAATGAAATACATGAAAAAATGAAAGAATTTATTCCATGCTAAGGATTGTAAACTCGTATGGTTTTGGCATAGATCAAATGACATATTTGACAGAATTTTGTGTTAGTGAAAGTATTTTTAAGCTTATTCAAAGTTCCACTTGACGTGAAAGTATTTTTGACCTATTAAATATACGATACTTGATGGTTGGATCAGGTAGGAGATTTCTGTTATAGTTTATAGTAATAGCTGGTCATAGCTAATAAGCCAACGTCCATTTTCAGACGCAAATGCAACGCTCGTAGCGGATTCTGGTGGAACGCTGTGACGGCAATCAGCAGTGTGACAGTAAAGGAAAAGCTATATAAATGTGAAATTGTGAACTGCACATGAACGCGATTCAGGAATTTATGATATTAGGTGTAACGGGTAATGGCTACTGCAATATTGTTAAACAAAACTGTCTCGTGTGACATCAGTAGAAATGTAGTTCGCGTTATTTAAAGAATATCTTGTGGTTTTATTGTATATACAGAATTTTTTTTATTAACTAAGGTTAATAACAAACTCATTTGTTCCATGACTTCCCTACCGAACAATACGTGAGTAAATGCATTTCAAACTCAATCTTCATATTTATGTAATATTAATTAGAACGATGAGTACAAATGATCACGAACGTAATGTCATTTCAAGTTTAATGATATTATCGAAGTATATATATGTATATATACATACATAAACTTATATGTATACGTATATGCATGTATATATATCGAATGAAGTAATTTTAAAGAAAAAGTAATTTTTGTTTCTCATTTACAATGATCCTTTAAAGTTTATTATTCTTTTAGGTTAACAGAAAATGACAGTATTAGATACAGAAGAAGACGCGGATAAACGTTCAGTTCCTCCTAGAAAGAAATTTTGCTTATCCCTTTCTGGCCGTGAACGTACAATTTCTAACAACGTCTCTCAGGCTCCACAAACATCGGTTAAGGACAGCCTTCTGAACAGAGAAACTTTTACATATAGTATGTAAACTATATTTTGTTATATTAATGTTGAGTTATAAGAGATTTAACATTTATTAATTGCAAAGGTACAAGCAAAATGTTGAATGGCTATCGTAATCAGCTAAACAATCATCAGGATGGAAGCTACGATGTATCAAATAGTGGTACAGAAGGATTAAGAATAGCTACTTTGTGTAATTTAGGAAATACGTGTTTCTTAAACAGTGTGATATATACTTTACGATTTGCACCATCCTTCCTACATAATTTGCACCATTTAGCCACTGATTTGTCTAATATAAACGATAAACAACTTCAAACTAAAGTAAGTTTTATTTTACTTGAGAAATGTGCATTTTTTAAATTATATACGGTGAAAATATTTTTCTTTTATAACAGATGAAATCATCATCTTTGGGTAGGACCGGCATGTCCCTTACATCGAGCGGCAGTCGTAGTTGGAGTAGTAAAGATTTGTTAGCTCTGGCTGGGTCTTCTGGAGATACTGGCAAACATAGAATACAAATAGCTACTGAAAAGCTACATGAATTGTTTATAGCATTACGCGCATCCGAAGCAAGAGAAAACAGTGAACCTTATCAGCCAGATGCATTTTTACAAGCTCTTAGGTATGTATTATAGTAGAAGGAAGAATTAGATATGTGCATATTATTAATTACTTCTTTTTTTAGAGATGTGAATCCTATCTTTGAAGGAAATCAACAGCAAGATGCTCATGAACTCTTGGTATGTTTGCTTGATAACATCAGGGAAACATTTCAATTGTTGGTCAGGCATAGAGAAAGTCAGTTTGGGCAAAATAACGGAGACTTCTCTACAGAACATTTATCAGACTTACAGTCAGAAAATAGTAATTCCAGTAAGAGAAGTATTTGCAAACCTAGAAAGAAAAAGAAGATAACAACAATAGGAAGTTCATCGTGTCTTGTACAGTCGAATTTAAATGGTGTATCCGCATCATCTAGACCATTTGAAAACGGTCACGCCGAATTTTTGGAAAGTAACGGAGACATTAGTAGTCGTAGACCAGAAAGCAAAAAATGCTTTATTTCTGAAGATTTTGAAGGAGTTAGTCTTTTGCAAACCACATGCCTTGAATGTGAACATGTTACAGAAAGAAAAGAAACATTTTGCGATATATGTGTGCCTATCGATATCGACCGATCGAACGAAACAGGTAATGTTAATTGTATTTAAATGAAACAGTCAGCAGTAAGTAGAATGTAAGCATATTTATTTGTAGACGAAGAATTAAGATCAATGGATAGTAGCGAAGTGTATAAACGTGCGGTAGTTACTAGTGAACTTCTTTGGGGTAGAGATAAATATTGGTGCGCTAGTTGTCTTCAATATAACGAAGCGCGAAGAGCTGTATGTTTTCCATCCTTACCAAGACTTCTTATACTGCAGTTGAAAAGATTTTCCACTGCTGCAGGGTAAAACTATCTATTTTCTTTTTTTCCGATCAAGTTGAAAAACAAAGATTATAATAAATTATAATATATATTTTATCATCTTAGGTCAATGGAAAAAATTAATAACCATATGCCGACACCATTAACTTTGCAATGTTTTTGTGAAGAATGTATCAATGATCAAAATCATGGAATCACTGGAGGTAGATCAGAATCTCGACACGTGTACAAACTGTATTCTGTAATTATGCACCAGGGTGCAACAATGACAGCTGGTCATTATGTTGCTTACACCCGTTTACCGGATGAATCAGCATTCGCAGAGTATTTCCAGTGCGATCGAGATAGTAAGCGACAAACTTCTGCTCAGAGTAGTAGCAGTACAAGTACAAACTCATCTTCATCGGACAAAACGTCCGGTATATTAAAATACTTCAGAAGTAAACCGAGTGTTAGTGAAACTAAGGAACAATTAATCAGGGTTGGTTGTCGTAGTATGGATTGCTGTGGCATTCGACGTCACAAACATTCTAGTATTTGGTTGGAATGTGATGATGAAGCAGTGCATGTAATTCCATTACGAGAATTGGAAGATAAATTAGCACCGAACCCGCGAAATTCTGCTACACCTTACCTTCTGTTCTATGTGAGGTCTATGACGTAAGCAGGTTTCTCCTCATAAAAATGTATTAACTCTTTACGGTCGTATCTAACGCAAGCATGATAGTCGTACTGGTTGGATGTTACTTTTGGATAGCTCGCGTTTAGTCAATTATTGCTTAAAAAAAGAAAAAGTTGTATACATATTATTTATTATCATGGTATCCCATATTTTATATAGATTTACATATAGGTGTGTCAATACGTTGATGCAAAGTCTTCACTTCATCGGTCTTTTGGGTTGTAAGTTATAAAATGTGATTCTTTTTTTGAATTTTATGATAGATTCATTAACCCTTTGGATGGCAACGGTTTCTATGCGAAGAATGCCACGGACCGATAGAAAGGCTCCGTGTATCGGCCGTGGCACTCGGCACACACCACGCAGATCGGCCTGGCATCCAAAGGGTTAACTGAAGTCTCTGTATTTGGAATAAAATAGTCTTTGAACTCAACTTCAATGTAACCTAAGCAGTTGCTAATTTTCCTAATTCTATTTCTAATGCTTTTATCGTTTGAAGAATTTGTTTCTAGCTCTCAACATTCAATAAATTTTGAAAAACTTATCCCTCCAAAATACGTTCGAAGAAAATGGTACTTTCGTGTTATGTTGATACGACTACTAAGATGAGCAGTGTTAAGTTTCACTTCATCTTCTGTGCTGGGAATACTCCGCGGTTTGAACGCAACGATAAAACACTCTTGTTACGAATATTTCGGGATTTGATCGCAAAGAGTTACATGTTAAAACTAAAAGTGCATTGGGCCTCTTTTTTCTGCTAATGGCTGTTCTGTGATGTCACAAACATTCCAAATCTGTTTACTCTGTATGTATTCTATTGAGCTTAGGTAAGCGTGTATAAATTTCCTAGAAAATAAATTATGTATTGGAAACTTGTTGAAGATTAGAATTTGGTAGTTAAGTTCTGATATGCGATAAGTTCTTCAGTCTAAATGACGATGCTATTCAAGTCTTGCTATCAGTACCACAAGATGTCAATTTGTATTTAGATAATTAATGTTTGTTGGACGTGGAGCAGTTTATTTTTAACTTATCTCTAAAAAAAAAAAATATACATGTCGAATTGAGTAACCTCCTCCTTTTCGAAGTCGGTTAAACATAAAAGTGTGTATTCTTCATTTTATTTCCTTGTTTTTTTTAGCTTGTAGGTATGTTCAAACTTCATTGATAGTATAACAATGATATTTATATTAATAACGTAAATTTATGTCACAGTTGTCATCTTTTTACATTTACATTATTTATAATATTTCTTTTCATTTAAATCATGTATTAATTATATTTTACTTTTATATTCAGAACCTGCATTAATTCATGATAACGATTAAACAATCAACTTTTATTACCGAATCTCTCTTCATAATTACATCTTCAACATTTTGATAGTATTAAATCGTAAATATATTTCTATACTATCGTTTTTACATGTCTACATTCTAAGTATTTGAAGAAAAGATTAAAAGTCACAACATCGTGTATTTTAAGGTTTATCGAGAGTAATGGTATTCGAAATGATAGTAATTGAAAAAACGAGTGTAACGATCTAAAAATCAAACCTTTACAATTACGGAAATCTAATACAAATTGTTTTCATTTGTTTGTAATGTAGTATTATCAAAGCATCACTGTATATGCGAAAATCAATCATCATTACATGTTCTATAGGATAAACATTTATATATTGATAAAGTAACTGCAAAGATGCGAGGAAATTGTTATCAAAGAACGGCAGAGTGAAGCAGTAGAGGAAACAGTGAATTATTAATTATAGAGAAAGTCCTGTACGCGTTGAAATATTTGTAAAATGTCAGGATGTCAGTTTAATCATACGTGGCTATATCCATATATTGATTGTCGCGATAGGGGTCAGTAGTGGATAGTCGTGTTTTATCTGTCAGCCTGACATATCGTAGTTTCTTCTACTTTTCTATTCGCTTCGCATTCGGGTTCCGTTTTTTTTTTTTGTAATTAGTCATTTTTCTCACATTGGATATGATCGCACTACTATTTCTCTAACAAGGTAAGTTTGTTAAGCAAATAGAAAAATGAACAATTTTAGCGATCTCGAAAGTAATGAAATTTGCGCGTTGCGAATAACGGAATTCAAATAAACCCAGAACATCAACGATACTTTTAATATTTATTTTCTATTCATTGTTGATCATCGCAAATTGTAAATTGAGTATAGACATACGACGGTACAACCATTTTACATGATATGAACAAAAATGTGTACTATTAATATAACGTAACTCGGAAATAGCAAAAGGAAATTTCCGATCGTATTAATAAATATTTATCGCTTCAGTTATTCTTTCGAAACATTAAATATTCTATTATTCGAAAATTTGTATTCAATGTCCAACGGTTGCAGTGCACTTCCGAAATCAGGGGAGTTGTAAGTGAAATCGATTTTCAAACGTAATCGTTGACACACTTAGTGCTATCGCAATATTGGAAACCATATATATATGGATTATACATTTATTTTTATCGTATGCTGATCATTACTTGAATTAATTCATTTGTTTATTTACATAATTTCCGAATAAACCACGTACCTGCGATTTACTCAACAATAACAATTTAACGTCAATTTGTACACTGATATGGTAAGTGTAATATATAAACATTATTAAATGTGTATATTTTGGTGTAAAACACTTTATGTGTCCTTTAAAAACTGCTCGCAATTTCGTACGAACACGAATCATCGATTCTCATAATTGACCCCGAATTCTTAATGAAGAATTTGTAACTGACGGAAGTATATAACATCACAATATATAATGCACAATTGTCGTTGTAACGAAGCAAGTGCAATCAATACGTTCACAGTGTATTCGTCGACGAGTAAATGGATGTCGCAATAATGTTGATGTTTATTGTTATACATGCATCATGTACGATCACATTCTATTCGAATTCGTTCTTAATTAAATTATTAATTCACCATTCACACTGTTCACTATTTCCTCACTTATACATACTATATATTACATTTTTAACGATGCTCAAACTAGATGAATAAACGTAATAACAAATTTATACATCTATTCTATTAATTATTATAACATACATATATTTATATAATACTCATTATAGAATTTTATTATATATATATTTTTTATAGTTTGATCATTCATTGTTATTTCAGTAATTACAAATATATTTGTGATAGCAGTTATTACGTATACCAATTTATTTTATTGTTTATAATTCAGGATTTATTATATATCACATCGAACTAGACCCATTTTAGCACTTAACAATATTCTCTGAAATTCTTCTACTTTTTCGATTTATTTGACAGACGTTTTTTTAATATAAAAAAAAATAAAAATAAAAATAAAAAAGCGTGCTAAAATTCGTGTCCCTTTAGTTTATTTTTTCTCACGTAACAGTATCGATAGTACATCACGATAAGCTATATGTTTCTTGAAATAAATTTGTCAATATTTTTCAAATGATAAAATACAGTCATTTATTAACGTAAGTAGTTGACAAGTAATATTAAGTCATTAGAAATCGGCTCAATTGAAACGACAAAATGTTTTTTCTCTATCCGTGAAGCTTTATGGTCATTGAACTCATCTCTACGTGGGCTATGATTACGCAGTGAAAAATATAGGATGATCTTAACAGAAAAATTTAATAAAGAGAAATTATAAAAATATATCATTAATTAGCGAAAGTATTAACCCTTTGCGCTCGAGGCATTTTTCTATAGAATCAAACCCATCCCATTTTTAGAACAAATTTCTGTAAAACCAAAAACTCTACTTGGAAAGGAAACATCCACGAACATTCACGACTCAATGTATTATTATTTCAATTAATAATTAGCTGTATTCTGATATAAGTAAAATTGAAATTGTACGTTCAAAAAATCGCCTTTCAATTACATGTGTCGCCCTAGAGGCGCCACTCGAGCGCTAAGGGTTAATTTACTTTTAATTTTAGTATTTCTTGCGTGAGAAATATTTCAGCCCCATAAAATTTCAATAGTAATTTAAATACCTTAAATAGCCTCTTAGGCCCCGAATAAGTAACTGAAAAAGTCACGATTTGCATTAATTTCTTTGAAAATAATTCCCAAAGTGCACCTTGTCAGTTAAGTTATGTTATTAATAGATATGAAATAGTCATTTATGTTTACCGTTTAAATTGAATTCACATTGCGGATGGTCTTATACTATTTCGTTGATTACAGATTCAATCGAAAATAATAAATTATCGATATGAAGCATCAACAGATCTCGGTCGATTTTGTAAGTATGGTGTTCACTGCCTGTTCGTACTTGGCTCTTGCTGGAGCCGTTTGGATATTCTTACGACTCATTCAGGCGTGTTTTTGGCTACCACGTCATCTGAAAAGGCAAAACGATGTACAGCGTATGTTACAAGATAAGGTGCTTAAATTGTTTACGAAAGATGTGTTAGGATCATATTTCCGCACTAACGACTAAATCGATTCAATTTATTAACACCATTAGAGCATGTTTGAGAAAAATGTAATTCAATATGATTTTATACTAAAGTGTAGAAAATTATATAAAAGTTACTCTCGGAAAGAATTTATCATGTATAATTCAAAAAATGTTCTCTTTCATTGCATGTATTCGAAATTTCATTTCAATTGAATTTAAAGAATTATTTCTTCAAACCTTTAACATTTTCTATGGGGAGGTCATTTATTGGATTATGGAAGTCAGGCTTTCACCATTAATATTTAATCTTGTGGATTTTTTCATTTTTACGTTATTTAATGTGGTATATTATTTATATTTTCGATTCGAATATGACAATAAAGATTTTCACTCGAAACATTTTCTAACAAAAACATTCAACACGGGGTAGAAAAGTTAAATTGAAAAATCACTTGATTGTTTCATTTATATCTTAAAAACCGTCGGCACAATGTAAGTCTTTCAAGTAAATGTATGTATTTATTAAGAATGAATCGATCAAATGAAATACAAACGTTATGTACATAGGAGATCATCGATGTTTTGATTATTAATTAAATGAAAATATCTTCAGTTTTCTGTCGTGGATTTACACTCTCTCGTTGAAAAATGTTTAAATATATAAAACAGAATTTCTCCATAGGTTGAGAGTTATGAGAAGTACATATTGGAATGCGAAGAAAAAGAAAAATCTGAGCAAGAAACGCGTGGCGAAGATGTCAAGGTGGATCCCGTGCAGGCAGAGAAATGGAAAGAACGCAGGGAATGTCTGGAGATGTTGAAGAGGGAATTGAGTAAGGTGCGCGATAGTGGTGATAAGTCCTTCGACTGGGACTACCTTCTGGAGGACGAGGAAACAAAGGAGGATGGTGTGAATATTACTGAAGTTCAAGGGGATGAAAATTCGAAAAGTGAACGTATCGATCAATTGAACGCTGATGCAAAGATGACAAAGCAAACGGTTGATTCGGAACGTAAGAAAGAGAAATAGTTGCATTCTGTACTATAACGACATTCGCGCCGACAGATCGGTACTTACGGAATTTAAGAATCTGTTGAAAATGCATTCTCAATCAATCTAAATGTCTGGACTACAATGAAAAAAACAATACGTCAGAATGTCTTGCGTGCGATTTGGTAACATTCTAAAGTACTGACTACCAATAATAGATTTCTTTTTCAACGTAGCGTTGCTAGTACCTATTCCTACAACGACTAGTTTTCTAAGTAGTTTTGATAGATATCTTTCATCTATATAGTCACTTGACGACGGGACACATCGATTCAATAATTAATACTGACTATATTCAATCGTTTAATCGTAGACCCTACGAAGTATGTTAATATAGAGATCCCTACTTTACGTGTATCGAAATACCCGGGTACACGGGTAATTAATGGATCCGTGTTTTAATACGTGTATTTTTAATACACGGGTAACCGGGCATCGACATACACTGACACTCGGATATCTAAATACACGGGTACCCGAGTATCGAAATACACGGATATCCAGGTACGTATACCTGCATCGAAATACACGGTTACGCATACATCGAATTATACGGGTACAGTATCCAATTATTTTTATATACAAACTTTTATGTAACAAAGCCATTATTCTAAAATAATGATCCTTATAAATTTTGAATAAATTGATATGCAGTAAAATAAATAAATAAAAAAAATATAAACACAAGAAGAATAAATATAACAGAATAAATTTTTTACTGTAATTTATAGAACTTTATTTACTAGTTAAAATAAATATTCAAGTCACGGGTAACAATAGATAATTCGATGTATGCGTACTCGTGTATTTCGATATCCGGGTACCCGTTTATTAAAAATGCCCGTGTTTTTAATCCTTTAATAGACGGTACATGTGTTCCGTGTACCCGTGTATTTTAATACCCGTCCAAAACCGTGATCTCTAATGTTAAATAAATGTATTTTGTTCTAATCAATTACAATCACTTTTCTTACAAAATTAATAGCATCGAAATACGATAAAAGCAAAAAATTAATACGCGAAACTAGATTCGTAATCGATACTTGATACGTTAAGACAGTTATTTATTTCAACTTGTAAGTCAAGTTCACAACGTGCCTACCTCGAAACATACTTGCGTGCCTCTGTAAATCACGTCGTAACCTTCGCGATTTGTGCAGTATTAATCACATACTCATCGATTTCTACGCTATAATTAATCTACTACGACGTACTATTTCGATGTCTCATTGTTCGTTACTTATGTACGTTTAAAAATACCCCCAACGACATCATTTTTATAAAAATGTTTAACAAAGTGTCTTTATCCTTACAACGAAAATAAAATGTAAACGTCGAACGATGTTTATTTTCGAACGTGATTAACGATAAACGTAAGAAGTTGATATACTTTCTTCATAAAATGCGTTCTGGACGCGGGAGATAATTATGTTGTTGAAAATACATCCGATAAAGAATATAATGTCATATAGATACTGCAATTTCTATAATTATAATAGTTTCGTATCACAATTTATATTTAATACAGAGTAAAGCAAAGTTTAGACTGACTACCGTTGAATCGCTTACATCTTTACATGTTATTTTGATGCAACTGTTGCACAGTATTTTTTATGTATAAAGAAGGTTTGCCTACTTTTTAAACGTGTTGTATACTTACATTTGTACTGTTTGAGTGATAAATTTATTGAAAAAGGAAAATATATTCTACTTATACGATGACCTTTGAACTTTCTATTTATACGCAATTCTACCTTACAATCATACTGGGTGTCCCAAAAATGTTAATTGTAATTACATTATCAATCACCGTTTTTTTAATAATGAAGTATTTTGATGGAATTGATACTTGTAAAACCTTTTTTAATGAGACATTGGGTACATCCTGAAAGCTCACCACTCACTAAGATGCTTATAAATATTAAGTTTTCATCATAACTACTAAGACTTTATCGCTAAAAAAAGATATCTCCTCTTCTTTCAAAAGAAACGTAAAACTGCTTAGACGCTTTATAATACGCGGGCTGGCATTTGCCGATATTAGCGCCATTGGTGGGAAAACACCCAAGTTTCTAATGAAAATAGTTGCCACCATTCCGTAAGATGGGAGCCACCGATACCTTCAGCATTTATTCTCTATTTTTTGTATAAAAAATGCATGATTAATACGATGCATTACTTTATAACACTACAATATATTGGTTAATATGCTAAATGTAACATTTTTCGGAATAATTATTTAATGCACCTATTAGTGGCGTAATTTAGTACCAACAGTGGACACTATTTTCACTATAAACTTGAGTGTTTTCCCACCGATGACGTCACTGCCATAACCCCGTTAACCTTTGCGGACAAATGTCGGCAAATAGCTACCCGCGTATTACAAACCGATCTGCGTACGTCTACCTTTCTGGCAATGATAGTAGACTAATTAGTATTACGTTTCTTTTGAAAGGAGACTGAAGATCTCTAGCGATAAAGTCTTAGTATTTATGACGAAAACGTTTAAGGTATATATATATATATATATATATGTATTTTATCTAAAATCAGAAAAAGAAAAAAAAAATATGGAAGTTCCGAAACGAGTGATACTTGGAATATGGAGACTTCTTCTGAAGATACCACACTATGACAAATTACAAAAACCTATAGAATTCGAAATTAAATCATTCCAACAAATTAAACATTTTTAAAAAATTCAAATAAAATGCAAATCTCAACATTTATTAATAAAATATAACTTGTTAATTTGAACCAGTGGTACCCCAAAAACGGTTTGGAGTTGCTGGTAGGTCACATTACAGAGTCAGCGTGATTGTTAAGGGTTAAACGTAGCACGTGAATTAATTTCCGTGGTTATTTTCGGCAAACTAGTTTTAGTATCGAGATGTCCAAGTTACGATGTCTTACGAATCAGGTGCAAGGTACCTGCTGGGGGGATACCTACGTACTGGTACACGTTTCACGGACTGAAAGTCAAGGCTACGCTCGAAGGGCGAACTTAAAAAGGAGCTACATTCGCTGGCATGCTTCCAACTGGAGCAACGATTATTTCCTTTGCTTGCGAGCCAGTGGAGGTCGTTGCGCGATTCAAAATTACGTATTGTGTCTAGGAAGTATTTTTCGCTAACGTATCTCGAGGCACGATCATTTTTCTTCGACCGTCGACTACAATTACCCATTTTCCGATGTCAATTTTGTTCTAACGAACCTCGAACTGCGAAGGAAAATATTTCATCGACATATATATACCAAGCCCCGACGATAAATTAAACTTGTCAACTGCACTCCGCCCGTGAATTTTAAAAACGCGAGAAGGTAACAGTCGACCCTCGTTTATGTGTAGAAATTAATTCTGTGCCTTTCTAAGGTAAACTTACCATTTATTTATGAAGAAAAAGCAGTCAATCTTTTAATTATTTCTTGGTCACACATTCCAAGAGAGCACGTATAGTGATAAAACTAAATTGTGAAGCAATTTGTGTGCTTCGTTACTATGAAGGTTGATAAATAGACTGCGGATCTTTATGGATTTATAGAAAATTTGAACGTGCAAAAAATTACAAAATGCAAACAATATGCAAGAATATAGAAAAGATTGAAAGTAAAGTTTATGTTATAATATTCGTAGAATAAAATAAATTCCTATTTAGGTTCAATTTTTGTTGGCACGTTCGCGAAGATTTTATTTTGCATAAAGATCCGCAGTCTATTGATAACATAACAAAGTGATTAATAAATATTTTTATTTAAACTAGAGTTAAAAGTAATTATGTAAATGTGAAGATGTAGAATTTATCTCTACATCTAATATATTTCTAATCTGTTAGTGGAACAACAATCAGAAATAACTACGTTGTTCCAGAATGTTGAAAACCTGCATTTAAAATTTCCCCAATATTTATCTCTTTAGGTTTCAGAGATATTCGCAAAAGTATGAATAATCAGAATTATTTAAATTAAGGATCTAATGAATAGTTCAAAATTAATCAAAAATGGCATACGGATTATCTTTGAATTGAGTTATAAAGAAAAAACTTCTACTGAAAATATCCTTATTTTATTTAACCGACTTATAGATAGGAGCAGGTTACTTGATTAACCGACTTCGAAAAGGAGGAGGTTACTCGATTCGACATGCATATTTATTTATTGTTTTTAATTTTTTTAATTTTTTTTTATTCGACATGTATATATATATTTTTTGCTTTTTTATTGTTCGTTTTCAATTGACATTACATCCACGTGTTTCTTCATGAGTCGGTATGTGACTATATTTTGTTTTTCGCAATCAACATATTTCAATCCATATCTCGTATTGACACAACTTTGATAAATATTGAGATTTCTAAATGAAAATTTATTTTTTTCAAAATAAAACCTAGCCTATTTTACTTACCAGATATCGTAGCAAATCTATATAAACAATTCTTCTTCTTCCTAATATTAGCATAAATTAGTGTAGATTATCAAAATAAAATATAATATGTTACTCAAGCATAACGTAACTTTCGAAAGAACACGAAACAAAACATAAACGTATAATGGAGGTCGTTATATTATCGTAGAATATTCACGGTGGAAACCTACAAATGTTTGACTAGTACGTCGTGGTTCCAAATTAATTACGCCTTTCCTTGTGTAATATACAGGGTGTCTACGTATAAGTTCGGACATACGCATGATGTCAATTGACGATGGACTGATGTCAATTAAACATACCAGCGTTTAATTTTTGTTGACAATACCATTCAAAAGCTGAGATTTCGAGGAAGTTTTTCCTGAAGAGTGCCCGCCAAACAGCTATGACTTTGAAACCGAAAACTGAATACAGAAAAAGTCAAATTTTTTGAAATTTTCTCAATGTAATGTTTGACTTAATTTTTCACTTGTTAAACCTACGTAATAAATTTTGATTTTACATCAGAGAGATGGAAAATTTAACGCTCTTTCGAATGGTGTACCGATTTTTAAGTTTGCACTGTAATTTAGTGGAGTTATGGCCGTTTAAAGAGTGTCAAGTCTAAAACACAGAAAAAAAATTAAAAGTGAAAATACTCGGGAATAAGGCGACACAAAGAAAATGTCTAAGAGTAATTTTTTGTTGAAAATTTGTTGTAGAATTGACACCCTGCGAACACTCCGGGACAAAAATATTTTGTGTTAAAAGCTGATTAAGATACATATTTTCTTTTACTGATAACTCAGAGCATGTCTGTGTATACAATTTAGGAAATATCGTCCACAACATATACTTCGACAGGATTCTAACACAAAATATGTAAATTTTATTGTTCACAAGCGGGACAAAATGGTAACACATGTAGTAAATCTACGCTTTCCAGTTACACTGAAGCTCGCAAATTGCGAACATCAACCCCGGAACACAGTTAATAAAGTCCGTGATATTATTTCGTGTGGTATATTTGTTCAAAAAAGGAGAAATATTATGCAAAAATGGGTCGCGGAAAGAGATTGAACGCGTGTGAAATTGACACTATAATAAAATTGAAAGAAGAACAATATTCAGTGACAAAAATAGCAAAAATTATGAATAGAAGTCGAGAAGTAATAATGAACTTCTTGAAAAATTCGGAAAGTTATGGTAAAAAAAAAGTGTTGTGGACGTCCGCGAAGTCTAAATGCCCAGGAACGACGTGCAATACTGAGAGCAGCATCAAATTGTAAGATGACTGCAAGGCAAATAGCTCAAGGTGTTGGTGTAAACACTAATATAAAGAATGTGAGACGTGTGTTGCAAAACTGCAAATACATAACACGAAGAAAATTGAAGTATTCTTTTACTACTTGAAGAAAAAGCCTTGTTTAACTGTGCAACATAAGATGAATCGATTACAATTTGCGGAAAAGAATATTTATATGCGAAAGAAATGGCGAAGAATAATATTTACGAATAAAAAGAGGTTTAACTTAGATGGACCTGATGGTCTGAGTTACTATTTTCACGATATGCGAAAAGAGGAACAGTTTTCGAGTCGTCGGCAAATGGGAGGTGCTGGTATGATGATTTGGTGCGGTATCGGGTACTATGGTAAAATGGAAATCAAATTTATAACAGTAAAAATGAATAGCAAAATGTACTTGGAACTGATTAAGGAACAAATAAACACGTACGCCACCAGAATTGCTGGAGAGAAGTTTACTTTTCAGCAGGATAATGTCGCAGTACACACTGCAAAAGTAGTAAAAGAATACTTTTCTCGAGAAAAAATTCGCGTTTAGAATTGGCCAGCAAGGTCACCCGACCTTAACATTATTGAAAATTCTTGGGGAAATTTTGTCCGAGCTGTATATGGAAATGGCAGACAATTTGGAAATATTGCCGAATTAAAAAAATGTATTCAAGATGATTGGGAGCAATTAAAGCAAAAAATTATTAACAAACTCTATAAATCTTTGTCAAAGAGAATAATGGCTGTTATTAAATGTAAAGGAGGAACCATAAGATATTAAGCATTAAATATCATTCGTTGATTTATTGTTATACACAATTTTAAGTTAAATGTGCTATCATTTTGTCCCACTATATTTCCTTAAAAGTTCTTTTTTTTTTTTTTTTTTAATAAAATTGTATAGACTGGCGAAATTTAATCCAATTTTATTTGTGTATGTTTAGAGAGGTATTTTGCAAGAATGTATAAAAACAAAACCTTGGTTGTAGTGTTAAATAAATAAAAATTATGTTAATTTTAAAGTGTGCTATCTTTTTGCCCCGGAGCACAGTGCGGACAAATAGCAAAATTGTGGACAAAAATCAAAATTTCATTACTAAT